TCACTGATAGTTCTGAGGGATCCTTTGCTGAAGACACGTCCGAAGAAGAGTTAGATGAAGATGATGTGATAATGGTTGACAGAAATTTTCAAAAGAATGATTATGTGCTCGTTAAATTTAATGTAAAAAAACTGTTGTGCACTATGTCGGCCAAATCGAAGACATCAGTCATACCATGGCTACAATAAAATTTATGCGGCTGAGTAAGATAAGAAACACCTTTTTTTCCTGAAGTAGATGACATAGCTTGTGTCCTACTAGATGACATCAAAACTAAATTGCCAGATCCAAATACATGCAATGAAACCAAACGTGGTAGCTCTAAGTAAACATTTGATAAACCTTTATGGGTTATACCTAATCTTAGATAAGCGTATGTATTTTAGATGTTTTTACAGTTGTTAACTTTTATTTTTGGATTGTATCAGATATTAAGTGTTTTATATTTGGATATTAAGTGTTTTATAGGCCATGCCCAAGCTTCCCACAGGGTGTATCCAAACCTCCCTGCCATAGGGAGCATTGGGCACTTTGACTGAGTTTCAGAAATTATCTTATAATGTTGAGACTGATCATAATTTTAAGAAAGTTCTTTCTAAGATATCTAGCCAAATATGTGGTGCAATAAGAATAGACATTAAATGTTGATTATCTATAAAATATGATTTTTTATGCATCAAATTGTGAAAAAGTGCCCATCCCTCCCCTACGTCCCCTATATTCTTTTCCAACGACAAAACGGCTTGGAATACTACTGGATATGTCGATTTAAATAACTTATCTGGAGCCATTAAAAGGCATATGAATTCTCAAAAACACATGAATGCGGTAATTTCGTTTAGTAATTTTGGAAAAAATCGGATTGAAACATCTTTGTCGCGCCAGTTATCAGAGGAAATTATAAAACACAACATGCGTGTTGATCACAACCGTAGTGTTTTTCAAAGATTAGTCGATATTGTTTGCCATCTAGCACAACAAGAACTTCCTTTCAGAGATCACGATGAGTCGAAAACTTCATTAAATAGAGGCAATTTTTTAGAACTTGTATCGCTTCTCAGTACATCTCGTAAAAGCATATACAATATCAACAAAGCGACAAACGGCCGAGTTATTTATCTAGTACAATCCAAAATGACATTATTCATTCTGTCGCTGATGTAATGAAAACTCACATCGAGTACGAAGTAAAATTGTCAAAATTCGTTTCAATTATTATTGACGAAACTCCCGATGTTAGTCACAGAAAGCAATTGTGTCTGATTCTCCGAAATTATGGAAACGAACATTTGAATTCTGCAACAGCACTTGGTTATATTGAATTAAAACAAACATGAAAAAAATGTATTCGAGCAATATGTGGGCTTTAAACCAACTGAATCATGTCAACAGGTGTTTAAAAAACTTGACTTATTACCCCTACCATGTCTTTATATTTATGAAATATGTCTGTTTATATGGAAGCATAAATATTTATTTATTTAACACGACGGATGATGTAAATCCTCGGATCCGGCGAAACCCGTACAAACTCATATTAAGTGATAATCCTAGAATAAGTAAATATAATAAAAGCTGTTTATCTATGTGTGGTTATATAACAAGTTACCAAATAATATTAAACTGTTAAATACTAGATTATTTAAATCGAAATTACTGGAATACCTAGTTAAGAATAATTTCTATAGTGTTATGGACTATATTAATCACAAGTCTTAATTTACGATAAAAATCTTTTGCATGCTATATGTAACTCTAGCAAAACATGTTGTTCGATTATATAATATTTGTGAAATCTTTTTCATACCATGTTTTAAGCAAGTAAATATATTATTATTATTGTTATTATTATGACTGCACCACAAAACTAGTTGCGCAAAGCTATGACGGCGCAAGTGTCATGCCCGGTGTCAGAAATGGAGTGCAACAAAAAGTTAAAGATATTTGTCCCCAAGCCATGTATATTTGGTGTAATGCACACATTTTGGCATTAATTTTATCTAAATCTTGTAACAGGATTGGGGAAGTCAGCACTTTTTTTCAGCCCTTCAGGCTTTATTTAATTGTTTAATAAGAGCACAAAACGGTCGTCTTTTTATGATGCACATTGCAGCAAAAAATTGCCTAATGCCCCCGCAACTCGTTGGACGTATACGTCACGAATTGTGAATACAGTATTCGAACAAAAAGATAATCTAATTAATTTGTTTTCGGATATGTGCGACAATCCGCAGAACTGGGACGGCGATACGATCTTGTCCGCCAAGAATTTTGAAAACACATTGTGTTCATTTAATTTCAATTTTTTTCTTTCAATTTTCCCACGGGTATTTGAAAAAACCGACTTCTTGTACAATATTCTACAAAAATAAAGTTGATGTCGGTTATTGCAGTCATAAAATAAAGGAGTTTCAGACATGGTTACGTACTGAATTTCGGTCGGATTTTGATCACATTTATGAAAACACATTACAAAAAAACCTCTGCTCCTCGTTTGAGACGCAATGTGCGCTGTGCTCAGACAGAATATAAACGCCTTTTTTGTTGAAATAATTTATAACATATCTTCAGAAATTAATGGCCGATATTCTGAAATTTTCAAATTAAAATTTTTCCAATTGTTCAACAACAAAGTATTCGAAAAATATCGTTCAGATTTTCCTTTAGAGGCATTAGATTCATTATTTGAAAATTACATAAACCAATTTGATAAACAAACATTGAAAACCAATTGATTTCATTGCATTCCTCCCCTGAATTAAAAGACCGTAATGTTTTCGAACTCATTGACTTTATAAACGAAAATAGTCTTGAAGAGGCCTTTCCCCAACTTTTAAAGTTAGCTTATCTTGTCGTAACTATTCCAGCCACAAGTTCCTCCGCGGAACGTGCTTTGTCATCTCTGAAGCGCATCCATACTTATTTGAGAAATACACAAGGTTAAGAGCGTCTTTCAGACTTATCAATTATCGCGATTGAAAAACAGTTATTGGTACAATTAAAACGTTCACCAACATTTTACGCGGACGTAATTAAATCTTTCTTTAAGAAAGAGAGACGATTCGATTTAGAATATAAATAGTTTTTTTTTTTTAATTTTTGTACATAGTTTGTTTGTACTTTGTTCATGCTTTTCTTTTGTTCATGTATTGTATTGTATGTAAACATCTTTTTTTTCGCTCAAGCAAACCCAAACGGCTTTTTTCAAAGCCACCGAAGGTATGCAATTGCTGATATGCCATACAATCTATCTAGCAGTAGTGTGCCTTCGGTGTACTTTGTTAAATACGTCCTCGACAGAACTGATTATAAAACTGAAGAGTGGAGACAGATCAAGATAGATGTATTTTTAAAACTGCTAAAAAAACAAAAGCATATCTTGAGCTTGCCCCAGTTTGGAGCCCTAGCTTCGCCACTGATTCCACCCACATACATTTGTTTATTAACCCAAATTCTTCAATCATAATCTGATAGGCCAAAACGTTTGCCCTTACAAATCACAACAGCTTCTGTCATTTTAAATCAAAGCTAATGAGTATTATAATTTTAAATTGATAATAATTACAAAAGAACGTATAGGTAGAATAAATAATAGATTCTCCACTTAATATTAATGGGTAATTCTTTTTATTGTTTATAATTAAATAAAATTCACGAAAACCGATTTATTTTGATGTTATTCACGGCTCTAAAGGTTTTTCTGCACTTTTGAAAAATACTTAGTTTAGCTCTTTTAACTGTCATAATTTTCGTTAGCACATTAAAATGTACCTCTGCTTTAGCAGGTGATATTCGCCATAATTCCTGTAGGAAGATTATCGATCGTACATTCTCACACCTTGTATGTACGCTGCTCTTCATTGCCAATCTAAGGTATAGAACTAGTTAAGAGGTGGTTATACCATCACCTTCGGAGCCATTAGATCTTTTAGGCGTTTACCATACTTAGTTGCCTCTTTCACCCATCCACACGACTTATTGGAGCAATATATCCTTTGGCACTTCTACCACCACACCATTTAAATGTAATTAGAAGAATAAAATTGAAATTGTTGATTTCATAAATAAATTTAATAAAATCAGTCTATCTGAGTATTAAAATGAAATCAAGAAAATAAACTTTTCGTTTTTATTGATTACCTAGACACAACATCTCATTTATAATATCGATCAGTTGGGTAGATAGTAGTACTTCAATAAGTTAAATCAATCGTAATGTTTGATAAAAATGTATCAGTCATTAAACATTGATCAGATCATTACTTCCCTAAACCACAGAATAGTATCTATTATTTATTCTGTGATAGTACTATGTACCTAAACTGTCGGTCATAAAACAAGGAAGGTACTTGGGAATATTTATTTTCCGTTGGTTGATGGCTGTCTAGGGTCGGTCTATTACGTCATTCACTAACACCCTAATGTTACCTTATTTGAGAGTTTTATGTGTTTTATACCCGGTAGAGCCACCCTGCAGCTATATATAATGGTTGTAGCACGAATGAGTCAGCTCGACCGGGGAAGGACCACGCTCTCACAGAATACCAGCGTAAAATAGCAGCTTAATACTGCTGTTTCGTATGGTGAGATCCGGAGACTCTTTTTACTGAAACCGAGGCATTCCATCTTAGTCCTCAGGGGTGACAACGCATCTGCATTTTGATTCTTAATCGAGGATTAATATAGATGTCTATGGACCACAGCATCCACTTACCATCAGGTGGACTGTGTGCTCTCGTTTGTCACATTTAAATCTATAAAAAATGTTTCTTTATTTTAGCCTTGATTAAGATGTACTTTGATGAAAGGGTAACCTGACGAAATAAGAATTTGTCTAACCGAGAATAAACTTTCGTGATGGCTGCTTTGTCACAAGCGTCACACTCGAACCCTTTTTCTACCCTTTTACCCTAACAACTGTTCCACGCGATCGACACTTGTCAAAATATTAAATATAAAAAATGTTGAATAATTTACTCAAGGTAATTAAACATCGGTAGGATCAATGAGACGGAGTCGTCGATAGTGAGCAGCCAAATGGGCGCGATGGTGGCGTTGACTGGCAAGATTGAGTCTGAGATGACACAAGTTTGGCGCCAGATCGGTATTATGTACCAGCAACTAACTGCCAGCAAAGCGTCGCTCGACAAACTTACGGTTAGTTCATAATGCGCAATGTTTAAAGTTAAAGTTACATCCTATATACGTCTCACCGCTGGGCACAGGCCTCCGCTCATTTCTGAGAGGGTTTTAGGGCAAGGAAATGTCCGCCGCGCTGCCTTAATGCGTGTTGGCGAACTTCACGTGTACGAAAATATTTTTTTTCTTATTTCTCAAACATGCAGATTTCTTCACGATGTTTTCCTTCGCCACCGAGCACGTGGTAAATCAGCACTTAAAATTCATTTTTACTGGCAATTTCATTGGTACCGGCGGGGATCGAACCCGGGTTGCTCGCGTACTTTCACATTTACATGGAGCACTTAGCCCCTGATCTACCACGGCTTAGCGTTGCTTAAATATTAAATAAATAAATAAAACATACATCCCGCTGCTGGGCACATCTCTTCTCAATACTCAAATGTTTTAGAGCTACGAAGTTTTAGCCGCACTACCCTAATTCACCATTGTTTTTCTCAGGCATGCTTCCTCACGATGGTTCCCAGCATTACTGAGACCGTAATAAATCAGCACTTAAAATTACAATTAACAATTCAAAATCCTACTGTGAAATTTCGGCGAACGCTCAGCCCCTGATTTACCATGATAACGTTTCTAAATATTTGTTAATTTAATGAACCACGTACTAGAAATTTGTAATAACTTAAATTAAAAAAAACCGAAATAAAAAGGAGCTGTTGATCTTCAAACGGCTAAAAAGATTTTCTTAAATCATGACTAAGAACACTTCATCAAGTCACCTTTCAAACAAAAACTAAATCTAAATCGGTCCAACGGAGCTACGTTGCCACCATAGAATACTATAATACATACATAATAGAACGGGGGAGTGGGCGGAGCACGCGTAGCCACTAAAATGTCACTAACACGTCGATTCACACGTATAAATGTCAACATGAGATGTGTTTTGACGTTACAATCGTTTCCAAATTTCGCATGCAAATTATTTAGAAAATGTCAAATTGCACCCTGTTTACAAATAAATATGTATTAAAATTTAAACGATTTTTTTTAATGACGATCTTGAACATTATAATCAAAAGTCTAAAATGTGTAAATTTACTCAATCTGTCAACACAGGGAATCGGGTTTGGCGACGCCAATTCTCGTACAAAATAAAGCTGACAGCCATTCTATTGTGTATTATAGTATTCTATGGTTGCCACACACGGACACACAGACACACTGATACACTCGTTAAACATATAACAACCCCTCTTTTTCGTCAAGGGTTAAAAAGTAATTATTACGTTTTAAAATAAGGTGAAAATTTATGGTGAAATTTCAAAGCATGTAATTTACAAACCTACATGCCTTTATAATACTAACACCCTTATCAAAAACATTCATTTATTACTGGTATAGAAAGTGACATGGATAGTAGCCATTTGGCTAAATGGAATTCCATTACACTGAGTGAGATTGCCACGACTTGGTAATTTACATTTTTACGAATGTAAAGTAGGTTTTTTTTTCATATTGCATTACCGACCATACAATTTCTAGTGTGTTTAATTTTAACTAACAATTCCGTCACTCAGAATAATAACTATTATTTCACATACTTGCAGGGACAAACTGAGCAATACGTTAATAGCAGCGCAGCTACTCTGGAAAGCATGAATGATAAAGTAAGTCGCAAAAAGAACCTTTAGTTCTATAGAATAAGCCTTAGTCGAATTTATTATTTCGATCGCTTTTCTTTTAGGTGGGTTTGATTACGACACGCATGACTGAAGTGGATGATAATTTAAATTATCTACTAGGAAGGTTGTCTCTTGTGACACAGGAGTTCAGCCAAATTAAGACCGGTCTTGGCGACGCATTGGACAAAGCAAAATCTAATCTGAAAACTGTACAATCAAAACTTGACAGTAAGTATAAACTCACTCAAAAAAAAAACTATAAAGTGTATTGAACTCTTCATTATAACCTGAACCAGCACAATGTTAATTATACGGGGTTATTTTTAGAGTAGCCAAATTTTAAACTTAAGTTCAAATATATAAATAATGATGATATAGGTACCGCTACTAGTTTTTGAAAATACTAGTGAATAAGGTTTCTACCTTCATTCGAAATTATCCTAAATTGAATGTGATTTAACAATGTTTTGCCTACCGTTCGTCCCTTACGAATGTGTACGTGCGCAGTAAAATCAGTTAAAACAATGCATTACTACGCATTTTGAATTTAAAAGATAAAAAGGACAGAATGTTCGAGATTTTTTTAATTAATTTTTCTACACCAATTGCCTATATTATTTATTCTGAACCTACTCTGCTAATTAGGCTGGTTATTGCAAAATAAGATACAGAAAACTTGCCAAACCTTTCAATTTGCTACCTTTGTGATAATTAGAATATTTTTGGTTCAATTAATTGAGATCAATCAAATGCAAGTCAAGGTGCATATTTACTTTGATTTAATCATTTTTAGTAAAACATTACACTTTTCAATTTTAGATGGCGGCGCAGGTCCCCACAACATCGACAAAGGCGAGAAATCACCACAGTGAAAATAAATAAATATGAACCAAATAATGTAGATCTAATAATAAATATCATATAAGCTCTAAACAAACTAGAAATTAACATGTAATTTGACTGATTAAGGAAATGTGTTTAATGTGTCAAAAATAAAAGTTTTTAAATAACTTTTGCAAATATTTAATCTCTTTCATAATTGTGGTTCTATAATATTTATATTGTACAAGTTATGTTACAATTAAATTTTACTGTGACAAATATCCAAATGTCACAAGTAAGCGCATAAAATCAACAAATATACAAACTGACAAGGATTCTGTTACAAATCTTGAATTGAACTGTACATACAATCATACAGATATAATTTTATTGATCTTAAACAATATATAGGAAAATTATTTGTCTCATTTTTAATTTTATTAAAACCTGTTTACAACCTCAATTTCCTATGTGCAATATTAATAAATAAATTCACCTAATCCGACAAACTAATCTAATTTAAAGTCAGTGCCCTTACAAAGAACCTTTATTATAATTTATATTCGTGAAAACATTTGAAAAACAAAAATTGTTACATAACATGATTTAGCTATTTGTGTCATTGATCTCCAAAAACAATGCAACTAAATGCACTAAATGCACAATTTTTTATATAGTCCATAATATTTCTGATTTACAAAATTACGTCTAAACCTAAACAAACAAAGTTGCTTTTCCACCGCCTAGTCTTCTTCAAAATTTGTGTATATTCATGAATAAACAACAGGTATTTGAGATGCCATGATCTTTAAGTTAGAATTTAGAAGTTTAATATTTACAGATGGTATTCTTGAATTATTAAAAATATTTTAATTGTATACAAATTTTAAATTAGTGATAAATACAAACAATTCTGCATTACTTTTTCAAGGAAAATTTTAATAAGCATGCAGCATCCATTTTCTACAAAAAAATATACCAAACTTAGTCAACAAAATATCGAACAACAATTTTAACGGAATTTCATTTAACCGACGATAAAAACTTTTATTTTAACTAATTTATTCCAAAAACTACATATTAACATATTTCTATTTTATTGCTTTTCCACCTAAAAATATGGCGATCATCGAAATTCCATCATAAGTTCTGCCTTAAAGAATACATAAGATCTGCAGTGCGATTAAATAACTTCGGTGGGAAGAGCTCAGAAGTGTATCAACAAAACTATAAAAATGTAACCATCATATTCTGTTCCGATTATTAGGTGTTTAAATAAATTAAAATACAAATTACTACAAAAGATGTGGTAACACAAAACATAAATACATAAAAGTCTATACTTACTGAAAAAATCTGAGGAAAAAATAACAAAACAGCTGTCATCGTCAGGTGTTTAACACCCCTTTGACCTCAATTTGATACTTTGCAGTAACTAAGTATATTGTAAAACATATTTAAACTACAGATACTTCTACCAATACAAATTTTTTTGTTGTCACAAAACATAGTAATTGTCAAAAATAGTTTTAAGTATGATTGGACATAGGTTAAGGTTGTACAACATCTAATAACAAAGTATTTCATTGAAAATTCACTTAAAGGTAAATTTCTAAACACATTCGTTGTAATAAAACAGCCTAAAATGGGTTAACGTTCAAATATTCACATGCTAACTTAAGTGCTCCAACAAATCAAACATTGCACCGGAATGTGTGGAGATTGCTTTAATATGTATAAAAAGTAATGTAACATAAACCTAAGCGAACCAGTCGCTAATGTCATTTCATTTAGGAAAACTTACTATTTTACTATATTTTACCTAGATACCTTACATGTGCGGCAGAAAAAAAAAACCCGATGACTTTTAATACAAACCCATAAAATTGACAACAACATGCCAAATAATTTTATATCCAATAAATGTAAAGAGGCAAATTGGTAATGGCAGTGGCACACCTAACAACCACACACAAATAGCACTCAAGTTTTTTTACATATGAATAACTATTATGTACACAGATATTATTAAATGTATACTATATCAATGCAAAAGAATATATACAAACCTTATTAATATTAAAAAGCACTTATTAACCCATCTAAATCCACTCCCAAAATTCTATTCAAAAGAGAAATGTGATTATTACAAAGGAAATCTAAGTGATAAATTAATCAACAATTTGTGCTTCATTATTACAATTCTGACGCAATAAGCATAATATGTAGATAATATGCAAACAATTACACATAATTATGCAAAAACTAATCCAATATAGTGATTTTATGAAAGCTTTTTATGCGAATTATATTTATAGTTGCCTATGAGACAAAATGATCATAATACCTGTGACATCTAATCTTTGTACAATGCAGTATCAAAACAATGTCAGTTAAGAGTGTGACAACATTCTCGCAATGCTGATCGCCGGCTAGCCCCTGTTGTGCGTTTATGAATTAAGCCCAGTACAGACAGTAGAAAAATGGACTCACACCTCCACAGCCGGCACAGCTTAAATTTACTTAACTCAGACTACTATTTATAATTTATTACAACCTAACTAATTCTTTTGTTACATTGTGCAAAATACAATCCCCAAGAGTTTACTATTTTTAAAGCTGAATTCATCCGAATTCTTTCTATACCTTAATGCAGTATTTCAATTTAAAATTCCTGAACTTATTTTTAGAAATGAAATATAATGAATGAATAGATTAGTTTTGAAATAAAGTTTGAATAATCCACCCGTTACACATGGTGTTTGTAGCAAATCGTTTTACGAAACATGGATAGTTAGTTTTGCTCACAATACCCTGAATTTTTTATTGAAGACTTTATATTACTTTTTAAAATGATCTAACTTATGATTCATATAAAACGTCATGCTATCAGTTACTCCCTTTTACATTTCTATATTAACAACTATGTATATACCGCTAAGTCGGCAAAGATTCGGATTATTGAAGCTTTCTAAGGTTAAATCATTATAGCCTAAGTTACACAGTAGTGGCCAACCATAAGGTATGCAGTTGTGGGCAGACATAAGGTAATGCCGTACCCTAATTCTGATCACAAACCTGTGTTACCTTTTCTCCCAAATTATGCTAATCCTGATCTTATGTGATGGATCTTAAATAGGAAGACATAATATATAACTATAAATACACGCCTTTAGTATACAACGCAAATTTAAAATTATTTAAGAATTATACTGCATTATGTGGGCGTAATTAAGAAAATGTCATCGATAGAATAAATGAATTATTGTACTACCATAACAGTAAACTTCAAAAATTCCATACTCTCATGGCAATGTGTGACATGCAAAGCCTGAAACATGTCTGCAAATTAACATATGATCACCCCATTAAATTTGAGGCACTTAGATGACCTTAATAGTAATGATATAACTACATACTAGTGGTACCAAATTTCGCTTTTTGTCATCTCACAGAGGACCCGTTGATACAACGGGTGTGACACATTTAAAGCTATGGACATGTTTCATGTATAAATTGTTAATAAAAACTAATCTAATATGGAAAGAGTGTAGAGTGCGGTCGTAAATGTACAACATACTTAATATTATAAACCTATATGCATTTCAAAACTTACATGAACTGTTAACCAGTGCAATTTCAAAGGTGGTATTGTAAATTCAGTGTTCATAATAAAAAGTATTAACTTGGTGTTATGATAAAAAACATATGTGTCTCCCAGTGTGTTGCTTTTAGAAATATTTAAACAAGTGCAGTCGAGAATAATAGATAATTCATAGAAACAAAATCACTCTACCTTTAATTCACTTCATTCAGATCATTCACATTTAATTCACTTCAGGGTATCGCATCAACCTGGTCAAAAACTGAACCTACTAAGCTGAATGATTCAATGTCCATGCATGATCTATGTACATATTGACAAGTTACAATAACAAAACAACAGTTACTTTTTTAATGTATACTTTAAAATTGTCGCAGATAATATGTACAAATTCAACGGGCTTGTACTGAACATAACATCAATAGGGCTTTATACATTGCATGGCAATTTGGCAATGAGTCCAAATAAGGGAACTATGATAGTTATAACCACATGGACTATGTGCCTGAATGTAGAGTCATAATGAAATATCCCCACGGACCAAATTCGAACAGCCAGATAGTCTCTGTTAAGATATAATAATGCATTAGGTCATAACAAACATTGTTACATTGAATAAATCCTGATAATTGTTAAAGCTCGTTTTAGATAAGGCTCAAGCAAACTGCCATGCAAAGCGTTCCAAATTATTATATCTTATGTACATATTGTCACTTGAAGATAACGAGTAAGGACTAATGTCTAGGTTATGTATGGGATATAAAAGGTATGGTCGCGGGGTTTACCTCCGCGTGCTCTTGGAGGAGGGGCGCGAGTGGGAGTGCGTGTGGGGGGTCGCGCCCCCCCCCCGCTCCTAACTGGAGCATGAAGCGGCGGATACCGGCGACAGCGGCGAGTCTCTTGGGCACCCTGACAGCGTTACCACAACCTGCAGGCCATGATAACATATTATGTAATGATAAAAACATGAAAAACATTTAAAGTTGTTGAGCCATGATATAGCTATATTATGGTTGCAAAACGAATGGGTCGGCTTGATCTGGGAAGACCTACGTTCTCACAGAATGGCAGCGTAAAATAGCAACTTAATTTAGCTGTGTCGTATGGTAAGTGTAGAAAATAAAAATGCTTTGTTACAAGTAAAAAGATTCTCCATATTAGTCTTAGGACCATCCCTGAGGGGTGACAATATATCTACATTTTGATTGATATAAGTGTTTGTGGGCAACAGTACCAAACTTACCATCAGGTGGATTGTGTGCTCATTTTTCACCCTTATACTATAGAAAACGAAGCTCCAGTACCATTCCTCCCGGCAACAAATGAGTAAAAGGTACTGCGCAGGATATAATGCTCCTTTTAGAACTTAATTTTCCTAGCCTACCAGACAAACACAACAAATCCCGATAAAACTTGCAAAAACTGATTTTTTTCGCTGATGTTCTC